ATGCAAGATGGCTTCGTAACCTGGCCCACAAGCGTACAAGCATACACACGTACAAGCCTCCATTCAGTATTTCAACCAGTCGCTTATGAACTTACGTAGTCTCGGACAGGATTTTTTCCTTAGGTCATTAAGCCTTGATTATACAGGCCTGATATTAAGGCTTCGTAATCACTCTGTATTGCGCATAGACATCAAAACGCACACACACATACAACCAGGTACATTCAGGTAAAGGTATCATGACTAATATGAAAGAGAAATAGCTAATTCATTCTCCCTCTCTCTCTCTCTCTCTCTCTCTCTATATATATATATATATATATATTGGCTTATCTATTTTCGTTTTTAGTTATAAGTAAATATAAGAGGTAAAAGAGAGCCGGACAGTCTTCTTGGTCTATTGTCGAATTGGACTTTTGGAGGAATAAGTTCTAAGTTAATATAACATTCAAAATCTAACCTCGGTTTCACCCGAAACGAGGGATTATGACTCATGGACTTCATCAATATGAACGACGCGTCAAAGCCAAATGGTTGCAGTACATGCGAGAACCTGTCGTTGTCTTCAGGTAAGATCGACCTACAAATCTCTTCTTCATAAACTTTTATAAGGAAACCTCACCAAAAATACTATTTCAAGTATGTGGCAAAATTGGGCTTTTTAAGAATCCCTTAATAGACTGGTGTCGGAGTACCTTCGATTTCGTTAGAAGAGGCGAGGGAGGGAATTCGTAAGGTGGCCTCAACGGAAGTTTTAGGAGCTGTGGTTGTGTATTTGTGCGACCAGGTCTTCGGATCACCTTTCTGCGATCCAAATGAATCCTCCCTGAGCTTGCGTCCTTTGTGACGGATATCGTCAAAACAAGACATCATTATATACGATAATTCACCAAGCACAAAGACAAGATAGGTAGCTTCGCAAGAGTGGGCGTTTTTGTTTAGAGTGCCAGAGTCTAACAATTTCGAAGACCACTTACTATTGCATTTAACGGGAACTGCATGGGGAAAGGAACTGTATTACTTCAAAAATGTTTCAAGCTTTGTTAATAGGATGAAACCAGTTATATGATCTTAAATGTATTAATCACTTGGATTAGTAAAACAGTTGTACGGGATGAATAGCTCTTACTAATCGAGAACTGCCTGCAATGTTGGATAGATCAGGTAAAACCTAAGCCAAATGCCAACTTTGCAGATAAACCATTTGATTATGAACAAGGAGATACAGCATAAGTTGCAAGTGAATAAATTACTAAAAGCCCCCATTAAGCTGGTATTCAATATCCAAATGCATAAATTCAACTAAAAAATAGTTTTGTCTAAGTTGTGCCGTATCTAATCCGTTTTTCTCTACTACTCATAAATAAAAAGTAAATCTACAGACGGCTCAGTCAGACCTTAAAATTCGTTTAGAGTAGCGACGAAATAAAATACTTCCATGACTCTACAATAGCCCCTGAACAGGGCATTCCAACCTATAGTCGAGCCCATTTGTAGCCTCACCTACCAGGCTTGGTATGTCCTTATTTTTCCAGTTGCTTTAACTTGCAGTGGGAATGCAGAAAAATCCCATTCTTACCTATTTCTAAGACGACCTTACTCGCGCTTGTATTCACCCACCATGGTTCTTATCTTTAAAGACAGCTGGGTAAATACAATTTAGTTCAGAAAAGCAGAAAGTAAATACAATAGAAATAAAATAATTATAAGCCAATCCTATTAAACGACTTTTGCAGGCTTCTATAGGCAGCTTAATTCAGCCATGAGCCTTGTATTTTAAACAGGCATCGCCATTTTTACAGGATTATTCAGTTTCTTAATATTTTACGAGTAAAAAAGTGTGGAAGGAATCTTAAAAGGAAAAAAATAACCTATTTAATCTTATAAAGAAAACTGATCGAAATGGATTATTAACAGAAACGAAATATCTAAGAGCGTTAGGCCTCAAGCTAGAGAGTTCAGCCTAGGAATTTAGACTCTCAGTCACACTCGGGAACAGGTGAATATTAATTAATTTTGAAAAGAAATTTTTTACAACCCAAAAAGCTATACGGATTACCAAGAGACACAAATAAAGGGAATACCAAAAAGAGATAGACATATCCTTGTTTCAGTAATCTCTCTAGAATTAACTTTAGTATAACCCAGCTATAAAGTTCCTTTAGACAGAGTAATATACTCAAAAGCTCGAAATGGCTTAGCTAAAAAATAGATGCCTCAACTCTACGTTTGCATTCTTAAAGAAAATATTCATAAAATTTGTTTATAAAACCAGAACTACACTGCAAATTACAATAGGAACTAGCATACCTCTAAGGAGGTAGACATTGCCGGATCTACGCTGTGTGCGAGTCGAACCTTCTCTACCAAAGATGAGAGCTGCAAATTCAGCCTCGGAATCTTTCGTAACGACGGGCAGGCTGGTGTGAGCAGATAAACCGGCGTTGGCAGGAAATCCAGAAAGCGATGGCGGCGCATTTAAGAAAGGAATCCAGCGTTGAGAATGAGTATCAAAGATGTTAATATCAGGGACACGTTTATGTCCGTTATATCCGCCTAAATAAATGTAAGGTTGAGAAAACAGTATGCAAAAAGTGATAGAAATAGGGAGTTGCCTGAAACAATCTATAAAAACGGAAGGGGCTATCAAAATATTTAAAAATAAATCAAATAGGATATTTAAAAATAAAATAAAGTAATGCAAATAAAGGTAATCTGAAGTAAAACTTAATGGGGAGAGAAGCAGATTTGAATAGCTTAGGAAATACTAAGACATAAAAGTTAAAATAAATGCATAAAAGATGTAATCAGAGTTAGTGGCATTGCAAAAAAATGATAAAATTATTCCATTATATTTAATTTTTGAAAATATTGGTAATAGATAAATAATTATTAAAATAATTTAATATTTATTTTATAAGTAGGCTTGACAGAATACCAGTAGGTCTTATATACTAGCAGTATTCACTCTATTTATTTTATGGCGATGAAGGATTGATAGTTGAATTTTCCAACGTTTTCATTAAATTTCACACAGCTTTGCTCTCTAAACTTTATTCTCATTAAGGCTGGAGTGGACTACGATTGTATCCTTACTTAGGCGTCAGACTAATTGCAGGGAGATGCTCAAATAACGAACAAGTGTCTCACCTTTTGTCATATGAATAATTTATGGCTAAAAATAGCTTTTCCGTGACTGCATATTCCCTTATATATAGTATGGAATTAGCATGAGCAAATTTTGTAACTTGGTCCGAATAACAGGTAGAATTTGTAGAAAGTATTCAGTCCTGCGTACTTTGCAATAGTAATCATGATAATATTTCCAGCACAACGTTGACACCATGCACTACTAGACATTTTTTCATCCTCATCAACGAGCAGCGCCAGCTTTGGCACAATTATATTTACCAATATTTTGCTTCATAATAATGGCATCACTATTATTTCTTGTGTTAGCCCCTAACACTGTCGTATCAGTGCTAAATCTTTCTCTATCTCTTTCTCTCTTTATATATATATATTATATGGCACTTCAACTTTGCCCGTTAAGGCATAATCACGTTTCCAATCCCGTCAACATGACTTCTTGATCCCAATCAGCACTTCATTTAGCAATCGATTTCTCCAGACTTTGGTCCGTTGCTCTCTCCTGTCCTATTTAAGTGGTTAGCTATAAATTCTTGATCCATGTCAGTGTATACGCCTTACTCAATTAGTTATTTTCAAGACTGGCAGCGAAAGTGTTGAAATGTTTATGCTAACTGCACTGGGGCTGGCCTCCAAAAATATGTTCTCACCCCTACTTTCTTGTAAGTCTTCTTGCATTGGGAAATCATAAATCCCGGTTGTCCCATCTTTTTGCCTCATCCCATTAGCTAATATTATCCGAGGGCACTGGGTCTGGCTTTTTCTAGAACCACTAATGATTTTTTAGCAATAAGACATGAAATAGTTGTACTTGAATCTTTTATCACGTTAAAGTCCAATGTAGGGGCTAAATGTATGATTTCATTAAATAATGACCTAATCACCCAGTTTGATCCATGCCACGATATATAAATTTAACTCAACAATAAATTAATTGAAGCGGCGCAAGCAAGGCTAGATAGGATAAAGACAAAAGGGAATTTTAAACACGTGGTGGTATACCTTATTTAGTGCACATGGTGAAAAATTTAAGCACAAAGTACTGAAATATATCTGTCCATTCGACATTCTTACATTGAGAATTTCATTCAAGAAATGTTAACCTTACAAAATTAAGTAAGGCATGCTATACGTTTTAATAATAATCGCCTACAATATGGAAGGAAATACGGGTTAGAAGTATTTACACACAATACAGATGAATACAATAAACTAGTAAATGCTTAGTAAAGGCGCAAGTCTAAGCAATATGTCAAATTATTCAAAGGACGAAATATATTTCAACAATAAAATTAATATTCTATACTAAATGTAGTATAATATGGTGGTTGTTAGTGATCAATAAGCTTTTAAAAAATAGATGGAAAAACATGTAACTCACCTATGAATACCAAGTATCTATTATTCCAAACTTGGCAATGATGCTGACTGAGATATGGTGAATTGCTACCATGTAAGTCAATCCATTCACCGATTGAGGGATAAAGCTGTATTTTGCAGAACAAATTAAGAACTTTGGATGATTTTTCAACGACATTTTCTAATCCACCGTGAACATAAAAGTAGTTTCCAACAATAGATCCTATTTATAATAAAAAAACCCGTGAGGTTATTGCCTGAGTGGTGTATCATTGGCGGCCCATCAGGAATGTTAGTGTCAATCCATTGGAGTGGACAGGTACATTTTAGTTTTTGTGAAATCAACAGCGCATCCGTCATTGAGACATCAAAAGGTAAGCATAACCGTTGCTATCGTGTAAATGATAAAAGTATTAATTTTAATAATACCTGGAACACCCAAATTAGGTTATATAAAGCAAGTAGCTGTTATTTATTTTTTGTATTATATTGGTAAATAGTATATTCAGAGTTTTTGCATCGCATATTTAATTAGCGGAAAGTTTTTAGTAATCATTTAAATTTTAACATAGAGATGGTGCAAAAAACGTATGTTAAAGAATTCTCAAATGTTTGGATGTTAATGTGCCTTGGCAACAAATTCCGAGAGAAAAGCAGACTTACTTCAGATATTTTAGCCATCTGAATATATTTAATCGGAAATGTAGCCATTCTATTATATGTTAGCAGCGCTATAGTCAGAATTTAATACCATTCATAAGATTAATTACAAATATGCATCAAATGCATTCAATAAAACCCCCCTCCTTTTGTTAGTGTATGTAGGAGCATACCAATAAAACATAAAATCCTC